AATCAATTCTGATGGACTACATTTCAATTCAATAAACAAACGGGCCAAAAGACAGAAAATGAAGTAGTAGACATCAGCATTATCTCAAAAATAATTACCCACGACTGTAATGATATAAGAGAATTAAGATTTTTTTGAATGAGTGTATCTGAATTTGAACTCACCAATCTACTCCAGTCAACCATTATGTGTCTGTGTTAATCATTTTGACTATCTTTGTTTTATTAAACAATAAAGAGATATGTCAAATAATGATACAAACACATCCGTCAACTTAATATAGGAAAAATCTTCCAAGTTTTTCCTAATAAAAATTCCCCTACAAGTATATACATGTGACCCAATGCAATTAATTTCACGTGAAATTTAATATTGAGGAAGACCCCTTTCCTTCCTGGTCAATATATTCAAATATCAAATAAATACTTATACATGTGAACAAAATCTTTGTCTGTCCCATATCTATGTCTGTTTTGCCATGTTTTGCTGGTCTAGATATGAATAAAAGGAAATGTGGGTTATACATCAATTAGACAGTAACCCAACGAAAAAAAAAACCAAAAGACAACTAGAAGGCAATATAGTCTTAAACAATAGACATGTGTCTTAAACAATTTGTCAAGCTCTAAATTGTTCCAAGTTTATAAAAGATGCAAAATAAAAGTTGGAACTTATATTGCAAAAAGTTTAAGAATATCAATCGTTTAAGTATATCATATGTACATGTATAAAAGGAAATCTGGAGAATACATATATCAGAAACTCATACAAATAAAGAGTTGCAACAGCTAAAAGATGCTCCAAAAAATATGAACAGTATAGGCATTCAATCCAATAAAGGCAGTAACTGGGAGTTTCAGGGCTAGGAATTTTATTACAAATATAAAGAAAAATTTATTTAGGGTTTTTATTTAGTGACAGTGCATCCATGGGAGATGGTAATGACCACATCTCAATTTTTTTCTTCTTAAAGTTGTTCAGTTTTGTATTGTTTATCAATTATTGATTTTGTATATTCCTTTCAAGGCATACTTTTTGTACTACTCTTTGTAATTTGTAAAACAAACTGATTTAAGTTTCAACATATTGTAGCCAGTGATGTGTAAATGTGCTTTTAAATTTTATACAGTAGATCACATCTTAATTACATTGCCATGAAATAATTAACAGAAAAAGAAGATATGACAAACAAAAAGACTGTTAGGAGAGCTTACAAATTCATACCTATCTTCCACCATTTATATAGATATAGCAAAGTCCATGTTTTACCGAATCAAATCCCCAAAAAAATTTCTGATCGATTGTGAAATGGTATTATGTAAAAGAGATTCTATGACATTTTCACTGAAATTAGTTTCCGTTATAAGATGTCTACGTCTTGCGTAGACATGAAAAAGAAATTATTTTGCTTGGTGAAGCGTAAAAAATCATTAGTACCAGTATCAATTAATAAAATAGGAGGTGCACCATGTCATTACTCAAGAATTTATGATAGTCTCTGATTTAGGAGGAGCATCAGATGTAAAATCTGGACGAACAAATGCAAAAAAGAAAGAATGAACAGACAGACGAACATAAACAATTACAATATATTTCCACTTCAGTGTGCCAGGGTCTAATAAAAGTGCACATTAGACAAGGAATTGTTATAAGTATATTGTTAAAGATGGACACTTGAGATACTTATGGAGAACCATTGATGTCATTACAAACATAGAAGACTGATAGAAGGACATAATACAATAATATAAACTTGGTAGGTACAGATTTTTTAAGCTATTATCAATGAAGTCATTTTTTTCATAGAAATTTCATTGTTCTGGCAAAAGATAACTTTTTAGAATTTTCTAGCTTCCTCTATATTATTCAATATGAGTTGTATTTCCTTATTTTATTGGTTAGATTTACAGATACAGTTTAGAGTTGTTTCCCATACTATTTACAGTTACAATATTTTCAATTTCCATTTATAGTTTTTACTTCCCTGTTTAGTTGTGCACATAAATTAAGCATTTATTGATTGTTGGTTGCTTAATGTCCAGGGGCAAATATTTCATGCATGTTCAGGACAAGAACAAATTCACAATATATCATCATAATTTTATCAGGTTTATAATTCTTAAGCAAACAAATATAAAAGGGATTAATAGAGTTTTCAGGGTTCTCTCTAACTATGTATTTTGTATTTTGAGTTCCAATTTGTTATCAAAGTACTTTTTGAACAGTTTTATTTTTAGACATTTTCTGTCTCATCAATGGTGTTATACTGTACATTGTTGTTTTCATTAAGATCAAACAAAGCTCATAAAATGATACTACCTAAGGCTAAGCTCTTTCCTAGTATTCATCTTATAAAAATAAGGAGATGTGGTATGATTGCCAATTAGACAACTATCCACCAAAGTTCAAATGAAGTGGATGTAAGCAATTGTCGGCAACAGTATGGCCTTCAACAATGAGAATAAACTGCTTCGCTGAGTGCAGCTGGATACCCCCGCAGAGGTCCGACCCTGAACAGTTGGGGCAAAAATGGACACAATATTCAAGCTTGATACAGGTCTGAATTTGGATTGTAATTAAATATTTGACATATTATAGGTTTCTGAATAAATGTAGTCAAAGAACTTGAAATTGGTTAGATGAATTGAATTTATATTCAATTAAAGATTTCTTGCTGTTGTGCAATACACTATGCTGTTGCGCAATACTTAGTAAATCTGTTGTCAGACTATAAACAAATAAAATTTATAAAATTCTAAAGGGAGCTTACATCAATAGATATAATCAATTCATCAAAGTTTCATAAGAATTGCTGAAAACATTTTTGAGTTACTGTCTGAAAACTGGAAAATCCCCCCTTTTTTAATGAATAAACCCCATAACTCGGAAATGTAAAATCTAAAATTTATAAAATTCTAAAGGGAGCTTACGTAAATAGATATCAACAATTCATCAAAGTTTCATTAGAACTGCTGAAAGCATTTTTGGGTTATTGTGCGAAAACTGGAAAATCCCCCTTTTTTTATGAATAAAACCCTGTAACTTGGAAACGTAAAATCTAAAATTTATAAAAATCAAAAGGGAGCTCATGTCAATAGATATAAACAATTAACCAAAATTTCTTGCAAGTTGGTGAAAGCATTCTTGAGTTATTGTCCGAAAACTGGAAAATCCCCCTTTTTTTAATGAATAAAACCCCATAACTCGGAAACATAAAATCTAAAATTTATGAAAAACGAAAGAGAGCTCACGTCAATAGATAGAAACAATTCACCCAAGTTTTATGCAAATCGGTTAAAGCGTTTTTGAGTTAATGTCCGACATGTTGACGACGGACGGACAGACAGTTGGTCAGAAGGACAACGGTATACCATAATACGTCCCGTAAACGGGCGTATAAAAACCCATACCATATAGTCGGCTATAAAAGTCCCCGACATGAAAAATATGAAACAAATCAATTGAGAAAACTAATGGCCTAATTTTATAACAAAACAATTTACGAAAAACAAGTATGACAGACATGAAGCAACGTCAACCACTGAATTACAGGCTCCTGACTTAGGACAGGCAAATAAAGAATGTGACGGGGTTAAACATGTTTGTGAGCGCTTAGTATATTTTATTTAGTATTGACCCTTATTTGTAACACATACTGGTGGTGGGCAACAATCAAGCATCATCAATATCCTTCAGATGAATTTATAGAAATAAGATGTGGTATGAGTGCCAATGAGACAACTCTCAATCCAAGTCACAATGTGTAAAAAGTAAACAATTATAGGTCAAAGTACGGCCTTCAACACTTTTACATGGTTACATTTTTGTAAGACCAAATAATTAACATATGGTGGCATGCTACATATCCAGCCTTACTATCAACCTTTACTAGTAACTTATAATAAACTAAATTTAAAATTATGGATGCAAAAATGGAAACCATCTTATCTATACATTTGGACTTAGACTGCACCTTTAGAAAACTTATTACAAACCGGATAGTAATACAAATTTTTATGGTGATGTTGTTTACCAAGCCGGTAAATTAAGATACAATATGGTTAAACTTATCCATCCTTCAAATAAACTTATTCTAAAAGGTTACCAATTCAACACTGTAATTAGATTTTTAAATTTTGTTTTTATTAATATAAATATTGATTTTGTTTTCAATAAATCAAAACACAAACTTAATATTATTGTTATACATATATGAACAGTCACGGTCTAACAATCTGTCTATACCTATAATTTGACATTGCACAAGGTCATGTTTTTCACTGACTGTTAATGAATTCTTTACACTTAAATCCATTAGATGTTGGAATTGCACTGATTGATATTTTAGTCTTAATAACATGATTTTTCTATTAATTGTTATTGGCTTTAAAATAGCTTTCAGTAAGTAACTGCAAGTACTCTCAGATCTGTACTTTGTGTCTTTTGTGTTTTTGTTACAGATTTTTATGCTGTATCGATCTGATGAGTAACACCTTTTTCAACTGATTTTTATAGTTTGTTCTTATGCTGTACTGTTACACCACTGTCCCAGGTTGGGGGAGAGTTTGGCGCCATGCTTAACCCAGACATATTCTGTATGTGCCTGTCCCATATCAGGAGCCTGTTATTCAGTGGCTGTTCTTTGTTGCTGTATATCATATTTGCTTTTTGTTTAGTGTTTTGTACATAAATCAGGCCATTAGTTTTCTCGTTTAAATTGTTTTACAATAGTCATTTTGGGCCTTTTATAGCTTGCTATACCATATGGCTTTGCTTATTGTTGAAGGCTGTACGGTGACCTATTGTTATTAACTTCTATGTCATTTGGTCCCTGGTAGAGAGTTGTCCCATTGACAATCATACACCATCTTCTTATTTTTATATTGGAAGGAATAAAGTGTGTGATTTTTTTACATTTCTGACTGAAAATTGGTATTTAATATCTTGTTATGGTAAACTATAATTTTTATATTTCTGTCTATAAATACATATATACCTACCGGTTTTATTAACGATGTTGTGTCTAAATAATGTGTTTTATAAAAGTTTAATAAACTAGGTATATCTGAGAACTCCTGATCTCCAATTCTAAACCTTGTTATTCCAGCAGCATTTGTAATCTTGTTAATGATATAATGACTTATTTTATTTTCTTCTCTGAAAATAAAAAGAACATATTATTATCTATATCTAAATATTGAAAGGGCTAAACTCAAATAAGTATCTGCAACACTAAGTCGGTTTAAAGTATTCAAAACAGCTTAAATATTTAGTGTCCACAATTTTAATTGAATCCAAGCATTTTCAAAGAGCATAATATTTTCCACAGAAATAGAGGTCTCTACGAACAGATTAAGCAATATGGACATCTCACATAGAATTCTGCTTAAACCAGCAGTATGAGCTCTCTTGAACTTGTAGTGAGGTGTTATTTTTTGCTATATGTTGAAGGCCTCACTGTGACTTTAAGATGGAACACTACAATAAAAGTTATTCCTTTGCTTTTGGTTAGTACATTGAATGTTTAACGATTTTGGGTCATAAATTATTACACCATATTCCTTTTTTTCCATTTTTTTCTTTACATGCAACAATTCGTTTAGGTCTTTCAGGAAAATTGCAGGTCACAAGGTCTAAAGAATTATCTAAATTTGTTATACTTTATATCCACCTAATGTCACAAAAAAGTAGAGCTACAAAATCTACAGATAAATATTGAACCTGTTATGGAAAAAATAAGAAGTAAAGGTTAGGACAGAATTCAATATATCAACATAACTTTGATGAATAAAATGCTTCGCTGGGGCGCAGCTTGATACGACCGCAGAGGTCGAACCCTGAACAGTTGGGGCAAGTATGGACACAACATTCAAGCTTGATACAGCTCAGAATTTGGATTGTTATTAAATATTTGACACAGCATAGGTTTCTGACACAGAAAGAATGTGGTCTAAGAACTTGAATTTTTTTAATTTACCTATTATGGTCCAATGTCCAAAATCAAAATACATGGTTAGATTCAGCATATCAAAGAACCCCAATAATTCAATTTTCGATGAAATCAAACAAAGTTTAATTTTGGACCCTTTTGACCTCAATATGAACCAATTTGATAGCGGGGCCTACAAATAAAAAATCTAAATACATGGTTAGATTCAGCATATCAAAGAACCTCATATATTCAATTTTTGTTGAAATCAAACAAAGTTTAATTTTGGACCCCAATTTGGACCAACTTGAAAACTGGGCCCATAATCATAAATCTAAATACATGTTTAGATTCAGCATATCAAAGAACCCCATATATTCAATTTTTGTTGAAATCAAACAACGTTTAAATACTGGACCCTATCTTGGACCAACTTGAAAACTGGGCCCATAATCAAAAATCTAAACACATGTTTAGATTCAGCAAATCAAAGAACCCCAAGAATTCAATTTTTGTTAAAATCAAACTAAGTTTAATTTGGACCCTTTGGACCTCAATGTAGACCAATTTAATAAACAGGACCCAAAATTAAAAACCTAAATACACGGTTAGATTTGGAATATCAAAGAACCCCAATAATTCAATTTTAGATGAAATCAAACAAAGTTTAATTTTGGACCCTTTTGACCTCAATATGAACCAATTAGATAACGGGGTCCACAAATAAAAAATCTAAATACATGGTTAGATTCAGCATATCAAAGAACCCCATATATTCAATTTTTGTTGAAATCAAACAAAGTTTAATTTTGGACCCCATTTGGACCAACTTGAAAACTGGGCCAAAAATCAAAAATCTAAATACATGTTTAGATAATAAATAAATGTGATCAAAGATTTTACAAATCTAATGCGCCATACTGTGCAATTAAAGATTACTTCTTGAAATTTTTCAATATTTGAAATTTGAAAAAAAAATAATATTTGAAGAATAATTCTTTTCAATTTCTGAAATCTGAAATGAGAAAAAATTGGCCCCCCACAATTTCTTTTTATCCCCCCACCCCTTTTTCCCCCAAAAAAATTCTTTCCCTCAAGATATGGTCATAATCTGAATTCAAATTTCCAATGGAGTTGGCAACCATAATTACCCATTTAAATTTACCATAGTGCTAACTTAATCTATTTTATAATAGAATTAATAAAAATATAGTGTCAAATCTTTCATATGGATTTTTTGGTAAAAAAAAAAGATGAAAACATTTGCAGATATTTTTACTGGTCTTCCTTTATAAATATGCATTTCTTTAAACATAATTTAAAAGCAGTGTAAGGGAAGTAACCAAAACGTTGTATTTGGATTACCTCCCTTACACTGTTTTAGATTATCTTTATTGTTCATTAACCATTACTTTATACATAATTTAAAAGCAGTGTAAGGGAGATAATTTCAATGATGTATTTGATTTATCTCCCTTACACTGCTTTAAATTATGTTTTGTACTAAAGTATTTGTCCATTAACCAGGACAACCTTGTTTTTCCCCCTTTTTTGCCCCTAATTCCTAAACGGTTTGAGCCATAACCCCCCAAAGCAAATCCTAACCATCCCTTTGTGGTATGGAAACTTGTAGTATAATTTCAGAGAGATCCATACACCGTTCCACAGTTATTGTCTGGAAACTAGAAAATGCTCATTTTCGGCCCCTTTTTGGCCCCTAATTCCTTAACTGTTGGTACCATAACCCCCAAAATCAATCCCAACCTTCCTTTTGTGGTATTTAACCTTATGGTCAAATTTCAAAAAGATCCATTCACTTAAACTAAAGTTAGAGTGCGAAAACCAATATGTATTCGGACGACGACGCCGGACGACGACGACGACGACGCCGACGACGACGACGACGACGACGACGACGCCAACGTCATACCAATATACGACCACAAAATTTTTTTGCGGTCGTATAAAAAGACAGTGATTTTTGTCTTTCTTGATACTTACTTTACACATAAAACGAAATCTCCTCTTATAGACTGACTCTCTCGGACAAGAAATACACCTGGTTCTTTTTCTGGTATCAATATTTCATTGGTTTCTTCTCTGTTTAGTGGACCGAAGTACCAACTGAAATACAGTAAATAAATTTACTTTAAGGTAAATCAAATTTGGTATTTTTTCACTAATTCTACATCTTTGTGCAATAACAATATAGATAATCTATAAAACTAACATAATCCACTTGATTTTTTGGGCCATGATGATATTTAATGGGAAATCATGCATTTGTTATTAAAAAAATACCCCTAAAAATATCAGACCTTCTAGCATATGTGCTACACAATAGTCAAAAGGTGCCCTGCCAAAATCTGGCTATGCCTTTCTGTCTTAATAAAATTGTGTCATTATTTCAAAAGTATGCCCTATTTTCAAGGAAGTCCTTACTGAGTTACATGTAAGGGTCTTTTATTGAAAAAAAAAAAAATCAATTTTTAAAATAACCCATGTAAACTAGCTTTCATTAATTCTTACTACTGGACAACTAGGCTAAGAAGTCATTCTTCCCATCTGTCACTTCGCTTTTCTAGACAGCAAAACGCGATATCTAGCTACATTGTACCCCAGTGTTCAAACAGTCACATTAATCATTAATAATTTTGATTTTTTTGCAAGTTGATGTAACGGTACTTTTTCGATTTAAAGACATAAAGAATTTATTTCTTGAGAACAAGTAACGAAGTGAAATCATTGACTTAGTAGACGGGTCGTACATTATTTCAAAGAAACAGCTTCATGCACACAAATTGAAGTACTGTGGATTCATTATTACTCCATAGACATGAATTTTCATGGAATTTGAGGGTTAATGTGAACCACAAATTTAAGTGTTCAACAAAATATAATTTTTTTTTAGGCTTGTATGCAGGCTTTGGCAAAACCACGAAATCAAATATCCACTAGATTTTAAGAATTGGTCGTAAGCTGCTGATCCCCAGCTAACCAAGCTTTGTACGTTTACTTGCAATCAAATTATTCCTCGGCTGTTTTGAACTTTTCTTGTTTCAATTTTAATAAAATAATAGAAAGAAATCTGCCAACAGCATATGATGAAGTTAGGGCACATTTGAGACAGCTACTAGATATGGGGATTATCCGACCATCACATAGTCCTTTTGCTTCCAATGTGGTACTAGTTAGGAAGAAAGACTCAAGCCTACGCCTATGTGTGGACTACAGGAAACTTAACCAGGCCACGAAAAAAGATCACTATGCTCTTCACAGAATAGAGGAACTATTGGATAATACCATAACTCAGAAATGTAAAATGTAAAATTTATAAAATTCTAAATATCAACAGATATAAACAATTCACCAAAGTTTCATGAGAACTGCTGAAAGCATTTTTTAGTTATTGTCCGAAAACTGGAAAATCCCCTCTTTTTTATGAATAAAACCCTGTAACTCGGAAACGTTAAATATAAAATTTATAAAAATCCAAAGGGAGCTCATGTCAATAGTTATAAACAATTCACCAAAATTTCAAGTTGGTGAAAGCATTCTTAAGTTATTGTCAGAAAACTGGAAAATCCCCCCTTTTTTAATGAATAAAATCCCAAAACTTGGAAACGGTAAATCTGAAATTTATAAAAAACGAAAGGGAGCTCACGTCAATAGATATAAACAATTCACCAAAGTTTCATGCATATTGGTTAAAGCTTTTTTGAGTTAATGGCTGACATGTTGACGACGGACGGACGGATGGACAGACAGACAGTCAACGGTATACCATAATACGTCCCGTAAATGGGCGTATAAAAATATATCAAATCAGCTGAGTGACAACATTCTCATGACAAAAATTATCCATTGTTATTATGATAACTCAAACAATCACTCAGTTCTGCGTTAAAATTGTTTTGAATATAAAACAAGGGGGTACAAAGTCAATGATGTATTTATTGCACTTAATTATCAACAGTATTAGTCCATGGTGACTTCCAAAATCTCGATTTTCCTTGTCAGACACCATTTTTGTTTACTTGTGTGACTTGTACCAACTTTGATGTCGACACGACTTGCAATGAAGTAAGTTGACCATGGAGTGTTACTGACTTTGAAAACTTTTTTAGCAACTTAAAATTGTCATTTCGCCGGCAAGATTATGCTCTTAAACGAAATGGGCCAACTTAGATAACTGGTTCCTTATCAAAAATATATCCTTAATTTTGAGCTATGCTACAAAAGTTTGTTTACAGCAGTTACCAGTTTAAAAACTATCTGAATACCAAAAAGCCTGATAGACTAAATCTTTCTGATTAAATTTATCAGAAGCAAACCAGTGAAATTTTAGAAAATAAATTTAAAAATATAGACGGATCGATACAAAAAAGTTAACCTGTCGCTTGAACTGGTAAATTTCAGCTGTCAGCTGCAGACAATTAATTTACCTTGATTGTAATGAGGCGCTTGTTTTTATAGTTCTTATTCATGATATCACTTTTATGACAGGAAAGGTGGGCCTGTTTAAGGCAAGAGGTCAGGTCAAAAAGATTGCATAAACTTCATTTTTTTTCTGAATTTTGTTAAAATGGCAAACTTAGATTAGAAATCCGGTTCACACAACCGGACTAGAATATAAGGTATCAGAATTGTCTGAACAATACGACTGTTTTGGAAGTTCTGAACCAATATGTTGAAGAAATTCTAATTAATGTAAGGCCTTAGGGTCAGTCACGAAACCATATGAGCAGATTTACAAGATATGGTTGTTTCCAGTAAATTTTAATAAGCTTGAACTCTCTTCAGTGTGGAGGGGTAAAAATAGTTGTGTCTAGTGTTTACAAATTTTGTGAAGCAGGAACCGAATGTACGTTGACATTCCAACATATGCGCTAAAAAAATAGCCAGGAACTTTAATTAGTTGATTAAGAACTTTAAAATTGTCACTAAATATCATTTTGGGGGTAAAGACTTGTTGCACAATCAGCACCTGGCAATTGTTTATTTACATTTTCTACATTTACACATAATCATCTTAAAGGCGCTTTTTGATTGGATGCAGTCAGTTACAACTGCTACCAATGGAAATCATTACCTCATGGATCCGAAATTCTATCTTAATCCGCCAAGGGTGGAGAGGAGGGGACTGGATCATAACACTTGGCTAGCGAAGATGGGACATTAGCATGTCTTATTGTTAGAAATCAAAGCCTTAAAGGATGTTAAAGCAATTGCTGCCTAGTTAAAGTTTTGTGATTTTTATTTTTCATCCACATGTCAAACCTGAGAGGAGTCTTATCTAGTGAGAAGTAAGGATGTTTTAACTTTATATCAATAAAAGACTTATCCAGCAGAAAGTCATTTTTACAATGTTTTACATCTCCCAGGGGGACGACACATTTACCCGGCTTAAGGTGGAGGCAATAGAAATAAGAAGATGTGGTATATGTGTGCCAAATATATTTGTGGAAATGTATAACTCCCGAAAAAATCATAACAGATTATCCCCTTGTAGAGTGTTTATTACTCGGCAATAATTTACATGACAATCCATGCACCTGACTTAGAACGGTTAATGTGATGCCACCAAAATTCAAACTTGATCTGTGTTATGTGATAATAAGCATTGTGTATAAGTTTCAGAACATTTGGTTGAGGCAATCTAAAGTTAGAGAACGGAAACCAACTTTGGGACATACAAGGGTAAAACTTAATGACCCCTCCGCTACGACGGTGGCATAAATATATAAATAAATTATCATGATATTCAGTATTTTATATATGTTTACCTATGTAGATATTTTTTCGGTAAAAATATTAAGCAATTATAAACATCTAAAATATTCCAGAAAAAAAAACATGAATATAATTTAAAATTAATTGTGTTTGTCAAAAATGTGGCCTTTTGGATGGTGAGGATGGTCTATGTCAAGGCAAAATTTTATTGACACAAAAAAAATGTAATGGATCACTCCTAAAATAATGTAACCAGCGTGCAGTTACCAGTTGGTAAGCCGTCCACCAAAACCTATAACCATAATCACTTCATTTTCCCATTAACTATGGTACAGGACAAGTGTATTTCGTGTGACAAAGAGGTCTGACCTACTCTATTCAAATAATATATTATTTCATTATGCAACAAGTCAACAAATTAAATACAATCATGGAGAATAGGTATTAGGCGAACAGACCGGGATTCAATCACACGACCAAAGAGAACTATTACAACTAAAAAGTTGAATAATTATCAGGCAAAAAACATTTTGACGAAGTGAGAAATAATCCAAGGTGCTTTCAAATTCACTCAAGCAGGACACAACATTCTCATATTTCAACTCATTCTTTGTGAAAACTGATAGATTTTAACTACCAAGAACATGAAGAAGAAACTGTTGTGTGCAAGAATCATGTGTTGAGATCTTTAAATCTACTCTGGCTTATTGATGGCATTTTCCTCCCAATGTATCAAACATCTACATTTGTACATCTACATCGTTGAAATGAAAAGGGTCTAACTACTAAATTAAATCAGTCATTCAATATGGTGCTCATTAAAAACATTTTAACATGTACAGATTAAAATTATTATTTTCTTGCGTTGAATACTTTCATGACTTTATTAAATAAGATGTGAGGCTGTTCTTGAATGCCTCCGCATCAACTATATTTAATAGTTTTGTTGGTAAGCTGTTCAAGTCTTTGATGGTACGAGGAAAGAAGCTGTATTTGTAAGTGTTGGTTGATGTTTGAAGATTAATAAAGTATCCATACACACAGGTTGGGGAAGATGCTCATAAATGGGTACTATCCCCATTTATGGGTATCATACCCAAAATTGGGTATCAATTTACAGTGATAAAAAATTTTTTTTGTATATCATCATGACAGCTGTCATGATGCAAAATTTCATACAAATAGCAACATTTTTCCCTTTAAGACCATAGTTCAAATGAGAACTGAATGCAAAGATAATGGCCTCCAAAAATCCTATTTTTTGAAGGCTAGTAACTTTTATCCAAATGATATTTTTATCATGCTGCCTTTGGGTAAAATGTTGTCATTTACCTCAAATGTTTGCGCCATGACGGCAAATATCTTGCAATACAAAGTTTATATATTTTCATCATTGGAAATTTGTGTCTGATATGAGGTAAGTGTATAATACCCATTAATCAGTGTTGATGAGGATCTTCCCCAACCTGACTCCGAATACAGGAGTAGTCTACTAGGTAGGAGTGTAAAACTTCCCAGAACTTGTGTGCTATGTACATATGGACTTAATTAAAATTACTATAAACAATAAAGTAAAATAGTCTATAGAATAACATATATACATTATGTACAGTGGCTTTGGTGGTTTAATAAGTTGGTGTGTTCTTTACAGAACAGTGAAATCTCAGAAAGACCACGACATACTTCAAGAAGACCTCAAAAACCTAGAAGTATGGGCAGATAACCTGATAACTGGGGAATGCGGTTCAATGCAAAAAATGCTACATCCTAAGCATCAGAAACAAGAGCCATAAATTCTACAGTTTAAATGGACACATACTACAGCAAGTCCAGCATAACCTGTACCTAGGCCTACAAATTTCGGAGGACCTCAAATGGACCACCCACATATCAAACGTGGCAAAGAAAGCAAATTCAACACTAGGCTTTCTAAGAAGAAACTTGAAATACTGCCCACAAGATTGTAAAAAAAACCAGCTTACATCTGGCTCGTCAGATCAATAATGGAATATGGAGCCATAGTATGGGACCACTTCAGGGTAACAAACATAAATAAGCTTGAAATGATACAACATCAAGCAGCAAGATTTATCACCAGAGATTACAAGTCAAGAGAGGACGGATGTGTCTCCAAAATGCTTGCCCAACTGGAACTACAAGATCTCCAGACAAGACGAACAAGCCAGAAGTTAATATTTATGTACAAAGTGGTTGAGACGAATTCCTCAAAAAAAGCATGTCCGAAGAGAACCATGACTGCAAAGAAATTCGAAGAATACCACGCAACAAATATTGAGGAAAAGTGTTTTGACATTCCACCAAGCAAAACACCACACTATTCAAACTCATTCTTGTTAATGACAGTGAGTGTGTGGAATCAGCCGGACAACACTGTAGTGCGCGCATCAAGTGTAGAGAGCTTCAAATCTGCTCTCACGCCCCGTCAATATGCCAATGATTTTGCTAGGTCTTGAATACTGATAATGAGTTGGGTCTCGCAAGACCTTTTACTCCTAAACCCATGTTGACTGTCATTTGATATATTATAAAAATTTATTTCCAAGATGTTTACGAATACATACAGATACAAAAGTCCAGTCATTTCTTTCGTCTGGTAAGTCGGTTCATTTAATATTAAAAAGATGAACAGACTGAGCATCCGAATGAAACCAGCAGATTACAGAATTGCAAAAAATATCAGCAAGCAGCAAAGGAACTACACAAGAGTCCACAAAGATACATGAGATATACCACCGAATCATATTTTAACTAAAGAATATACCGAGATATTTTGCTGAATAAAATAGCCATAATCACGATAATCTAAAGCAGAAAATCACCACCATGAGTACTTTTTCAGTGAATCATGTGCTCCAAAAAGAGGAGAGGCGAAAGGGACTCTAAAAAGGGGGTAGTTGAAATTTTCTTGTAAAAACCGTCATTAAAATATCACTTTTAAGAATAACCTATATTTATCCTCTGGGTCAAAGTCTGCTGCCATGTTAGCAACCTTTGACTAAAACGTCAAGACCAAAAAAGTGTCACATTTGACTTGTTTTCGTGGTTTATCCAGGAAGTTTCCGAGTTCCCAAAACAAATATGGCGGGTATATATACGGGCATTTATTAAAGTCTCAAACCAAATAAAATTCATATATATTTTGTAAAATGAAATTATTCGGCGCTAGGTGAATAACAAAAATATTATGTCGTGTTGTATTTGTACTCAATTTATATTTGTTATTCTAGATTTTCTTTTTATTTTTGTAGTTTCCAGACTAGAATTCAAAATGGCAGCCGCCAGTAGCGTTAGGATGGCGGCAATTTTCAACATGCAGATCTATTTTTTGACTATTTTTACATTGTTTCTTTTTATATCAACCACACAAACTGCCCGTTTGAGTGATCCTAAGATATTGCTCCCCTATCACAGTTCTGCAATAGTCAATTATACCCTTCATGTCAATCTGACAAGGGATGAAGTGAAATTTGCCGACTCCAGTTGTTTTACATGGTAATTTGTAAAATACAAATACACGCGAATTTGGAATATTCATTTTAATCCGTGAACTGAAGTTCCACTTAGTTTTCATTATATGTTAGCTTTTAAAAATATCTCTGAAATCGCTTAGCCAATATTCTGAACCTAACATGGCCCAGGAACATATATATTGACGGGACTTGACACTACCTAATTGTAGCCAATTTTATCGTCGTGTCATAGGTAATAAAGATAGGATACAGAAACGGACATGTGTTAAAAACGTACTCGCTATTATCCTAATAATTTCTGATAATATCAATAAAATGTCATTCAAACTAGTTTTACAGTGATGCCAGTGTATCAAACTTGTATTCTGTCACTTCAAATTTGTTATAATCACATTCTTTTTATCACAGAATGCAAACAGGATAATTCAAAAATGGCACCGATTGTATTCCTAAATTCAAAAACATTATAAAACACTTCACATGAAATAAATTACACTTATTTTGGTCATTTTATATGACAAAATATATCTATTTTATGATAAAAATTGTATTTATTTACGATTAGAATTATGTGGTTACTTTATTGAGCAGTTCCGATAGTTTATCAGTCAGACGCCACCAAAATCCATAAATCTCGAGGAGTCCGAGATTTTATCAATTTTACACTGAAAAGCCTATCAGATTCATTTCCCGTTAGATATACTGTTCCCAGCATGGCCGCCTTCGGTACATCTAAATAGACTGCTATTGCTAAGGATTGCTTAGTGCACTCTGAGACTACTATAAAACATGTGTTATAGTAGTCTCAGGTGCACTAAGGACTTATAATATGCCACTAAGGACTAGGAGGGGTGCTGTTACATGTATTGTTTTTTTCATATTATGGTCTAGATTGATATTTAGTGCATAAATTCAAAAGTTTTTAGAAAAAGAACCACAAATAAATGAGTAATTGAAATATGTTTAGGCACGTGTCCGTTTTTCTTTGATAATGCCGGAAAACAGTGAACCGATTGACACTTGCCAATTTACAACTGATTAAACAATCATAATCTTTTTATTATACCCCACGCAACGAGTTGCGGAGGGTATAATGTTTTTGACCCGTCCGTCCGTCAGTCCTGTTTCTTGTCATCGCAACTCCTCTCAAACCACACAACAGAATTTCACGAAACCTTTTTAGATAATAAGGACATACTATGTAGTTGTGCATATCGACAGGAAATTGCGATTCAATTTTTTTTCTAGGAGTTACGCCCCTTTCAACTTATTTGCTTTAATGTACTACTGCAACAGATTGTCATCGCAACTCCTCTGATACCATACAACAGAATTTCATGAAACCTTTTTAGATAATAAGGACATACTATGTAGATGTGCATATCAACAGGAAATTACGGTTCAATATTTTTTCTAGGAGTTACGCCCTTTGAACTTCTTTGCTTCAATGTACTACTGCAACAGTTTGTCATCGCAACTCCTCTGATACCACACAACAGAATTTCATGAAACCTTTTTAGATAATAAGGACATACTATGTAGATGTGCATATCGACAGGAAATTACGGTTCAATTTTTTTTCTAGGAGTTACGTCCCTTTGAACATCTTTACTTCAATGTACTTCTGCAACAGTTTGTCATCGCAACTCCTCTGATACCACACAACAGAATTTCATGAAACCTTTTTATACGCCCGTTTACGGGACGTATTATGGTATACCGTTGTCCGTCTGTCCGTCCGTCTGTACTTCCGTCAACATGTCGGACATTAACTCAAAAATGCTTTAACCAATTTGCATAAAACTTTGGTGAATTGTTTATATCTATTGACGTGAGCTCCCTTTCGTTTTTTATAAATTTTAGATTTTACGTTTCCGAGTTATTGGGTTTTATTCATTAAAAAAAGGGTGATTTTCCAGTTTTCGGACAATAACTCAAGAATGCTTTCACCAACTTGCAAGAAATTGTGGTGAATTGTTTGTATCTATTGACATATGCTCCCTATCGATTTTTATATATTATAGATTTTATGTTTCTGAGTGACAGGGTTTTTTTCATAAAAAAAGGGGGATTTTCCAGTTTTCTGACAAAAAATCAAAAATGCTTTCAGCAGTTCTTATGAAACTTTGGTGAATTGTTTATATCTATTGATGTAAGCTCCATTTAGAATTTTATAAATTTTACATTTTACATTTCTGAGTTATGGGTTTTTATTCATTAAAAAGGGGGGATTTTCCAGTTTTCGGACAATGACTCAAAAATGCTGTCAGCAATTCTCATGAAACTTTGGTGAATTGTTTATATCTATTGATGTAAGCTCCCTTTACATTTTCATAAATTTCTAATATGACATTGAGAATTAATTGAACTTTATTTGTTTATAGTCTGACAACAGATTTACTAAGTATTGCGCAACAGCACAGTGTATTGCACAACAGCAAGAAATCTTTAATTGAATATAAATTCAATTCATATAACCGATTTCAAGTTCTTTGACTACATTTATTCAGAAACCTATAATATGTCAAATATTTAATTACAATCCAAATTCAGACCTGTATCAAGCTTGAATATTGTGTCCACTTTTGCCCCAACTGTTCAGGGTTGGACCTCTGCGGGCGTATCCAGCTGCGCTCAGCGAAGCAGTTTATTAGATAATAAGGACATACTATGTAGATGTGCATATTGACAGGAAATTACGGTTCAATTTTTTTTCGAGGAGTTACACCCCTTTGAACTTATTTGCTTCAATGTACTATTGCAACAGTTTGTCATCGCAACTCCTCTGAAACCACACAACATAATTTCATGAAACTTTGTAGATAATAAGGACATACTATGTAGATATGCATATTGACAGGAAATTATGATTCAATTTTTTTTTTTTTTCTTATACAATTATTTTTTCTTACACATATTTTATTTCTCCAATGACACTGTGGGGACGTGGGGTATGTGAGCGCGCTCACTAAGGTTCTTTAATTTAAGTAATTAACAGTTGTATCGAAAAGACTAGTGCTTAATATGTATAAATAAATGGTTTGTCTTTATTCACAATGATAAAAAGGACAAATCATTTTGCTTTTGTTTTATTTCTCTTCCGACAAAGTTATTTTCTATCGGTGCATGGCTTTGATGTGTGTCAACTAATAAGTTAAGAGTGTGGTCAGCTTGTTAACATGTTTATGTAAGAGGTATCAAGACAAAAGGAATAGATATATTTATGAGTTTTTTGTTTTTATTTTAATTCCGACAACGAAGTATACATGTATATATATGTATATATATATAAGTGCCTATGAATAGCAGCACATGACATACAAATCTATGGGAGTGTGGATTAATCAGTACAGAGATTAATTCAATTACACAAATAAAATGATAGATTGCCTAACAATGTAATTTTAACACACTTTTTAGTATGTAAATATAAGAATGTTTATATATATACAAATACTAAAACCTATGAGTAAATTCTGAAAAACTATAAAAAAAACATACACTTTTTATTACTTTTTTTTTTTTTTTGTAATTGTTGGACATTTGTTTTATCCAAACATGCTTAAACATGTTAAAGTAAATGGATTTAAAAAAAATCATTAATCGAACTTTAATCAAATGAAGTTTCATTTTTAAATATATAAAGGAGACAAAAATAAAAAAAAAAATGTTCAACTGTTTTTAGTACATTATATAACAAAAATTACCAGAAAAGCTCACTTTGTCATGATTGTCATGATTGTATATTATAATTCCTTATTTATTTGTATTGCATGAAACCATAATGTTGGCAATAATTATACCCCACGCAACGAGTTGCAGAGGGTATAATGTTTTTGACCAGTACGTCAGTCCTGTTTCTTGTCATCGCAACTCCTCTCAAACCACACAACAGAATTTCACGAAACCTTTTTAGATAATAAGGACATACTATGTAGTTGTGCATATCGACAGGAAATTGCGATTCAATTTTTTTTCTAGGAGTTACGCCCCTTTGAACTTATTTACTTTAATGTACTACTGCAACAGTTTGTCATCTCAACTCCTCTGAAACCACACAACAGAATTTCATGAAACTTTGTAGATACAGTACAACCTGTGACTTCCTCTTAGTTATGTCCACCCTCTTGTATGGTCACCATCGAATGGTGGACATTTATTGGGGTATTCAATCTTGAGATGTTGGCCATTTATTGGGGTCATGAAACATAGGTTGATGTTTTATCTAATTATGTTACCTGTTGAAATCAATCAGGGTTAAAGTTTTCAGCTTGTATGTGTCATTAAAATTTACCTGTACAGGGGCGTGTTTTTTTGTTCTTCGGTAGTGAGCCAGAAGAGGTCCATTTCTGTTTTTTTGCATAGGGAAGATCTTCTGGCCCTCTTCCACCTCTTCGTTTTTGATAGGTAGTTTAGACGGCAGAGTCACATAACAAACATGGCGTCGTTTAGTCTAAATGACATTAATAAATTTATGAATGCAGATATATTGGAATGTGAGCTGTGTTATAAACGTTTTTATGGTATGACAGTCTTAATAGGACATCCCTGTATGACGATAAGCTGGATAAATATAAGAACTACACGGACAATAAAAGTTAAGGGACGACTATTTGATATTCTAGGGAAGGGATTTTGATTGATTGGTGTTTAACGCTACTTTCAACACTAAGTTGGGCTATTCCGTGGTGGTCAGTTTAAATTTATAGAGGGCATTATTAACATTTTTAATCTGTAGCTTATTATGCATATTTTTCAGCTCTTAATTACCAGCCCACCCCACTAAATGAATGAATATCAAATGGTTTTTCTTCTTATTTAACACAAGTTTAATTGGTTGATTGTTTGTTGCTAATTATTAACGCCCAGTGACAAATATGTCGTGCATGTTCAGGACTCGGTTCAAAACACGAGTTTAAAAGTCAGGTAAATAAATAAAACCGAAGAAATGTATGATTGCTAATGAGGCAACTATCCACCGGAGTTCAAATATGAAGTGGATGTAAGCAATTATAGACAACC